AAAATCTTAAAAAAAAAAAAAGAAAGAAGAACAGAGTATTCTAGCATATTCCACAATGGTTCCTTTTTCCCTCCCCCTGCTAGAACCACAAGGGAATTTTTAAAAATATTCTGGGACTTTGGTCAAGCTCCTGGAGATAAAGCTCACAAAATTGGGGACTTCCCTGTGACTGAGACCCTGTGCAGTTTTTTGACTCTCAGACTTGTGAGACAAACAGTGAGCCTCCAGCAATTCATCAATTATAGTTCAGGTTTCCTATCTTGGCACTGGTTCCCACAGTGGTTTCCACCCCTGGGTCTGTTCCAATAAGCCATGACTCCCTGTATTCATTTGTCCATCTCCCCAGTCTTGGGGGCAGTGGTTTGCCCTATGTTCTTACTTTTCTTTCAGATCCAAAGAAAAGTTGTTGATTTTTCATCCTGTTTAATTTTTCACTTGTTCTTAGGACAGAGTGGTAACCTCCAAACTCCATTCTGTGGAACTGAAAACCAAGTCCCATCTTCTTAACTTCATACAGAATGCTCAGCTGAATCTGCCAATTCTTTTTCATATCTAGCTTGCTTTTACCATTGTTAATATAGTTCTACTCTCCTTTCCAGTGGCCCTCTTAGATAAGTTGAGGAAACTCACTTCATTGCACAAATATATTGTTTTACCCTGAGAGCAGCAGAGAAGCCACAGTAAACAGAAAATACAGAGCATCCCACTTAACTGACCATACTTTCATTGGATATTCAATGCCTACCTTGGTCAGGTGCCCTCAGTGGATTATGTTCTGTGTTTCCAGGGAGGTATTAATGGTCTCACCATGTGAATTCTTCCTTAGTGGCTCTTGTAAACTCTCAGGGAAGCTGAAGTCAGAGTATGACACAGACTGTTCTGATGATCTTCTCCTGAGAGTCCTCCTTTAGTAGTCCTCATCTAATAATGATTATTTTGTTCTTTTTTAATGCATCTGTGATAATGTTTGCTATCCAATTTTAAAAACTAGACAATATATTGTGTAGGTATGCATATGTCAGAGAGCCTTCCGTGCCTGTGGATTCTGAACTTCACAAGCTTTCCAAGAAGAAACCTCTTAAAAAGGGTTCCTAGTGCCCATTGTTTATTTTGGAGGTAACCCTAGGAAACATTAGTAGGGGAGTTAGTAAGTGGAACAAGAAAGGGTAGGCAGTCAGCAAAGTATATACTATCTAACAAATTACCTCTTTGGGTAACTGGAATTCAATACTGCCAGAGAATTTTGGGAGTCAGAGTTATTTTATCATGTTCTAACTTTCTAAATCATTGTTTGAAGGTAATGGGCCTGTTAGTTTGTTGGCACTTCTAGCCAAATTTGTGGACATCAAAGTGGTCTTTGCAGCAAAAAATGGCCCCAAACAAAGCAATATGGATGCTGGAGTTGGAGGTTGGCTAGTCACAGGTATTGCATAGCAGATATGGGCAGGGCACCGACAGCATCTACCACAGGAGAAAAACCTTAGAACAAAGCAAGAGAATGACCTATCCAAAACTTGGGGAAAGTGGATGTGCTTCTGTTGGAGGGAGCTAGAAGGAAGAAGGTTAGAGCAAAGAGTGTCCAGGACTTCTAAGCACCTGGAGATGTTCTATTTCTTACCTGACTGGTGAGTACATGATAGTAATTCTTTATACCACGTGTATATGTGTTATATACTCTTCTGTGAATGATATGTATTTCACAGAAAAATTTTATTTAAAATAATGAAAGTTTAGGGGTGCCTGGGTGGCTCATTCAATTAAGCATCTGCCTTTGGCTCAGGTCATGGTCCTGGGATCAAGCCCCACATCAGGCTCCCTGCTTAGTGAGGAGGCTGCTTCTCCCTCTCCCTCTGTGATCTCTCTCACTCTCACTCTCTCTCTAATAAATAAATAAACAAACCTATTTTTAAAAAATAAAGTTTATGTTAAAAATATCAATACTAACCAATTAAATATTAGGTCACATTTTGTGTAAAGAAGTAATAAGACCATTTAAAATTAAAAAGTATAGTATATTATTCAAGACAAAAAAAATGAAATGCTGCTAAATATTGATGCTGACAGTGTTTTTCTCCTGTGAGTGACCCAAGCCTATTACAGTTGGTAAAGGGACTGAAGCCTGTGGGTTGAGGAAAATGTTGCACTATCTGTGCTTAGACTGAGTATGGCAGCTTTATGATTATGGGAAAAACAAATTCTTAAAACTTCTTTTCTATTCCAAAGATGCTTTCTATAGGGTGGCCAGTAAGTCTAGAAATATAGATAATATAATTTTGTCATTCTTTGTTGTGTAATATCAATAAACCATTTATTAAAAAAATAAAGTCTTATGGATCAGTAAAAAAACACATGTCTTCTTTGCCTGATTTGGAATGAAACTGAAAGAGATTCAGGAGTCAGCTGGAAATCAAATATTAGCTTTGTTACTTATAAAGATAATTGAAAAAAAAATGTAGCTTCAAATCTGCAGCTCAGTGGACTTGCCATTTCTTCCTTCCAGAATAGATCTTACCAGCCATAAATGGCACAGCTAGACAAGCAGAGATCTCCTTTTTAGGAGTGAGAATGGACCAGAAAGCATGCTTTCTGCCACTGAACAGACCTAACAAAAGAATTCAAAATTGTCTGAGCACAATTCCTTCTCCTAAACTCTCCCGTAGGATTAGTCAGTCACTTTTTCTCTGGTAATGAGTGAATGAGGGACATCGAGAGACCAAGGTGTTAATTTAGTTGAAGTTCACTGTGACGATGCATAGAAAGTGAGGAAAAAATTTTCCATCCAACAGTATACATATAGTAATTTATGCTAAAAGTGCCATTTCAAATCAATGGGTAATTCAATAAATGTATTAGTATTCCTGGTTAAATTTTAAAAATATAGTTAAATCCTACAACTATTGATTTCATAAAGTCATCTTGTTTTATATGTATATTATACTACAATAAAGTGTTTTTTTATAAAAACAAGTGATATAAGCTCATTTTTATTAAGAAAATACACTTATGTATTTGTTAATATGTGAATCTGGAAGGACATACACTGGAATGTTAGCAGTTATTATCTCTGGGTGATGGAAATACGAGTCATAGTTATCTTTTCTTCTTTTTTAATAGTTAGCATATATTTTTACTCAGCTAACAAGTAAAATTATTTTTCTATAAATGTTATATGGCTAATTGCTCTCTTTTTATAGTCTGAATTAAACCAGTAAATAGAAACAATATTTTAAAATGGGTAAAAACTATTTTGACATATCCTGGACTCAAAAATGCTCAAAACACAGGTATAGTTGGGAATATGTCATTCCGATACTAGTTAAAACTTTCCTTAGTAGAATATACCAGTATAAAATTGGAAAGTCACAGTCATTCGATTTTTTTTTTTTCCAAGAAACAGACTCAACTATGGAGAACAAACTGATTATCAGAGGGGAGGTGTGTGGGAGAGTGGGTTAAACAGGTGATAGGGATTAAGGAATGCACTTTTGTGATGAGCACCAGGTGTTGTATGGAAGTGTTGAATTACTAAATTGTACACTTGAAACTAATATTACACTGTATGTTAACTAACTGGAATTTAAATAAAAACTTAAAAAACTCCATCCCCCCAAAAATGAACAAAAAGCAATCACTATTTTTATTGTTTCATTTTTTACATAATATTATGGCATGTGGTATGAGATTTTTTTATTTCTTAGGTTAATTTATTCAAATGTATAAATGTCATGATGGTACCCAAACTAAAATTACCAATGTTATTTATCTTCAAACAAGAAACAACTTTAAATCACCCTAACATTTTATGTTGCTCATTTATAACACGTACCTTTATTTATGTAGCAATTATTGCTGACAATGTAACAGTATATTCCTATATACTCAAATTACTAAACTTTCAGTTAAAGTAAGAAAAAGAAGGTTAGGCAATTCATTATTCAAAGACATAATTTCTTTTTATGGTCTTTTACTTTATGAACATGGAAATTGTATCCTTTTCAATTCAGCAAAATAGATGAGGTATTTATTCTGTGTATAACTTTGTTAGATATTATTAAAATAAGTTCAATAAAATAGAAATGTTATTATGAACTGTGAGTTAACATTCTCACTAATTGAAAACACTGTGAAATCCAAAGCTCCTTCATTTTATTTTATGAAAATAAAAGTCATAACAATGAAGTAGTTGCATTTATTATATCCAGGTCTTGTTTTGATTTTTAGAGAAAAGAATTATTAAATTACTGTACTTTAAACTTTTGTAAGCTTAGCACATAGAAATATTTTATTACATGGTCACTGATAAAATAATTGCTACATGAAATTTTCATTGTTATATCAATAATGAAAAGGGTTGGAACTTTTTTTTTAATTTGCAGATAAATAACATTTTCAGTCTTTGGAGACCATTGTTATATTTGCTCATTTGAAAAAATTATAGCCAGTGCAAACAAAAATTTTTAAAAAGGGAAGGTAATAACCATATTACTGTACAAGTTTCTTGAGAACAGTCAACCAATTTCCCAACAAGTATAATCTTTTTACATAAGCATATGAGATTTTTTTGTGATAAAAATGGAATTAGATGATTATAAATTAAAAGTTCTATAGAATTTAAAAGAACATTAAATCCTTATTGTGACATGGTTGTCCAGGTCCATATCAAGCAAGACCTATACACTGACAGACGGATGAGATTATGCACCATCAGCTTGGGATAGAGGGGTGAGAGGTGTGGGGATCAGAAAGGATGGTGAGGATAATTTGGAGTTATCATTAAAACACTAATGTATATGTAGATGCAAAAAGTGTGATAGCTAAAGATCTCAACTTGTTCTCATGATTTATTTCTTTTTATCTTTACTTTCTGCTATTGTAAAAAAAATAGTATTCATTTCTTAAGCAATAGATGTTCTTATCTTAGATTTTGCTATAACTAGTTATGTATAAGCTAATTTATTAGAATTTGATTTAAAATAACTTTTACCTTTCTCTTTATTTAGGTATAATGTCCAGTACTTGGGATTTGTATGATTCTTATAATACTATGGAGCTTTCATCTTTACCAACAAAACAATCTATGCTTGAATCAAATACTAAAGCAAGTATAGCTTCTAAAGATCATGAGCAAAGAGTACCAGGGAGTACTATAGAAAAAAGTAAGATTTCATTTATTTCAGTTTTTTTTTTTCTTAAATGGAGTGTTTCACGAATTTGCATGTCATCTCTGCATGGGAGCTATGCTAATCTTTTCTGTACCTTTCCAATATTACTATATTGCTGCCTAAGCGAACACTCTTTCAGTTTTTATTTAAATGATGTTTTCACATGCCATTGTAAATAAATTCTTTCTTACCAGTTACAATACTTACTTTCTGGTGGAACATGAAACTACAACTTTTACTCAGAAATAGCATTGTTACTCTTTCGCATCATCCTGGACTCTGAACCAAAAATTTAATTTTTTTGGATAACTGTCAAGAGTTTCAAAGATTTTATCTTCCTCTGTTGCTTCTTTACTTGCTCTTAAGTTCTCTCTCATATATATAGGAACATATGGGTTCCATAATTTTCTCTCTTTCTTTCCGTAGACTGTATAATTTCTAAGAAAAAGTGTATACTAACTTTGTGACAGATTAAAATGGAGATAAATTAACAACTATGGCTTTTAATTGGGGATAATTTTACTTCCCCCAGGGGACATTTGGCAGTATCTGGAGACATTTTTGGTTGTCCTGACTATGAGGACATCTTTTGGGTCAATGCCAAGGAAAAAACCCATTGATATACAGAACAGCCCCCACGACAAGAAATTACGTGGCAAAAATGTAATATTACTAACATGGAGAAATCCTACATTAAAACTTTAGCTTTTAGTATTCTAAGTTTTGAGATTAAATGCTTTAATTCAAGTCAATGCAAAATTTTAACTTTCCAAATATACTTAGTAACATGGAAGAATTTTTACAAAGTCCAGTTATAGGAAATTTGTTAAATTCCACTTCTGATTGTTTTGTGGTTATGCAGTTATACAGTTTTACTCTCCCTATTCTAAACTCGGAGTCATTTTTCTTATGAAATGATATCACTACATATAAAGGGTAGTCTTTATTTCAGAGTAATTAAACCCTGGCAAGTTTTGGTAAAGTTTTGGCAAATTTTCATAAACTAAATTGAAATATTTCTGTTCTCACCCATTTTACCCAAAAACAAATGTAATATTTAAAAATAGTAAATCAGGAAATGTTTTTGAAAATCAAGTTTAAAGAGAATTTATCATTTTCAGAAAATTCTCAATTGTTCATTACTCATTTATAGGAAAGCCATTGATTTTGTATATTAAACTTATATATTGTAACCTTGCTCTAATTGCTTATTAATTGGAGAATTTTTTTTTTACTTTTTTTGGATTTTCTACATAAACAACTATGTCATCTACAAAGTTTTTTTCCTTCCAATTTGTATAACTTTTATTTCTTTTCCTCAAATTATTGTATTAGCTAGGACTTCTAGTATGATGTTGAATGAAGGTGGTGAGAGGCGACATCCTAACCTTGTTCCTTACCTTCATGTGGAAATTTTCAGGTGTTCACCATTAAATATGTTAGTTTTTCATAGATTTTTTTGGCTTTTCACAGATTTTTTTAAAAATCAAGTTGAGGAAATTCACTTCTATTCTTAGTTTCCTGGGAGGTGTTTTTTTTTTTGGTTTGTTTGGTTTTTTTAAGATTTATTTATTTATTTAAGAGACAGAGAGAGAGAGAGAGAAAGGGAGAGTGTGCGTGTGAGTGGGGGGAGAGGCAGAGGGAGAGAGAGAGAGGCAGACCCCCCTATTGAGCACAGAGCCTGACTTGAGACTCAATCTGGGGACCTTGAGATCATGACCCCGAGATCACAACCAGTGCCAAAATGGAGTCCGGTGCCTAATCAACTGAGTCACCCAGGTACCCCAGTTTCCTGGGACTTCTTTATCATAGTGGGTGTTAGATTTTGTCAAAAGAGTTTTCTGAATCTAATGTAATTTTCCTTCTTTAGCCTGTTGATGGGATGGGTTACATTAACTGATTTTCAAGTGTTGCACCAACTTTGCATACCTGGAACCAACCCTAATTTGTTGGAGTATATAATTCTTCTTATACACTGTTAGATTTGATTTGCTAATATTTTGTTGAGGATTTTTGTGTTATTTTCATAAACAATATTGTTCTGTAATTCTTCTTTTTTGTAATGTCTTCACCTGGTTTTGGTGTTAGAGTAATGACAGCCTAACAAAATGAATTGGGAAGTGTTCACTCTACTTATTTTCTGAAATAGATTGTATAAACAAGTCTTAAGTGTTTGATTTAATTCACCAGCAAAACCATCTGGGCTTATTTTCTATTTTGAAACTTTATGAATTATTGATTTAATTTCTTTAACAGAGTTAGGCCTAATCAGATGATCTATTTCACTTTGTGTGAGTTTTGGTAGGTTATGTCTTTTCAACGAATCGTTCCCTTTCATCTAAGTGATCAAATCTGTGAACATAGAGTTATGCACAGTTTTTCTTATTATTCCTTTGGTCTATGGGATCAGTAGTGATGACACCTCTATTATTGCTCATACTAACAATTTATGTTCTGTTTTTTTTTTTCTTGGTTAATGTGACTGATGATTATGAATTTTGTTGATCTTTCCAAAGACTTAACTTTTAATTTCATTGATTTTTTTCTGATGATTTTCTGTTTTCAACTTCACTGATTTATGCTTTAATTTTTATATATATTTGTTTCCTGCTAGCTTTAGGGTTATGTTACTCTTCTTATTTTAGTGCCCTGAGATAGAAGCTTGGATTACTAATTTTTGGATCATTCTTCTTTTCTAATATATGCATGCAGTGTTTTAAATTTCCCTCTAAGCATTCTTTTTGTTGAATCTCACACATTTTGATGTTATATTTTTACTTTGATTTGTTTCAAATATTTTAAAATTTCATTTAAGACTTCTTCTTTGACTTATTTTTAATGTATTTTTTTAAAATTTCCAAATATTTTAGGATTATCCAGGTATCTTTTTGTTGAATTCTAGTTTAATTCCACTATGGTCTGAAAGCATACTTTGTATTATTTCTATTCTTTTAAATATGTTGAAGTTTGCTTTGCTGGCCCAGAATGTGGTCTAGCTTGGCAAGCATTCCAAGTGAGCTTGATAAAAAACATGTATTCTATTAAAATAGTGTTAGAATCTCCAATTATAACAGTGGATGTGTCTGATTCTCCTTGCAGTTCTATCAGTTTTTGCCTTAAATATTCTGTAGTCTTGTTTTCTGCTGCATAAATGATTAGGATTGCTGTGTCTTCTTGGAGAACTGACTTCTTTATTATTATGCAATGCTCCTCTCTATTTCTGATAATTTTCCTTGCTCAGGAGTCAACTTTGTCTGAAATTAAATATAGCTACTCCATCTTCTTTTGATTAGTGTTAACATAGTATATATTGCTCTTTACCTTTAATCTATCTGCGTCTTTACATTTAAATTGATTTCTTGTAGATGATACTTTTTAACTGTGGATTTTATTATTATTTAGGCATGGCAAGGCCAACAGAAGAGGACACCACTGCCATTGAAAAGATAGCTTGTATTACTCACGGATCTCAAAAGGAGGGGACGTTCTATGCTGTGGGCTATAAGAGAAGCACCAGCGTGGGTCAGGAGGCAGAAAGGAGGGGAAAATGTGGCCAAGGGTCTTTGCTGTAGTTTCTGTAGATGGGAGATCCCAATCTAAACATATGGATACTTTAAAGTAGAGAGCTTTCTGAGCTGTGGCATAGAGAGATGTAATGACTGAAGAAGGTTGGAGAGATGTGAAGATGTTGTCTACCAAGAAAGGTGTGGGTGGCCACTAGAAGTTGAAAAAGATAAGGAAATGAATATCTAGAGCCTCCAGAAAGGAACAAAATCCTATCAACTTTTTGATTTTAGCCAATGAGACCTGGTCAGACCTCTAACCTACTGAACTCCAAAATAATAAATCTGCATGGTTTTAATCCACTTAAGTTTTTGTAGTTTATTTTAGCATCAGAAAAAAAATTAACACAGTGGTGTAGCATTTCTAAAAAACTACAATCAAATCAGACCTCCATGTGAAGACTAATAATATTATTTAAATTTGAATAACAATGTATACAGATATAAATTATCTATGAAGTTATCATTGTTTATCTTCTGATAATACATTTTTTAGTGGTTAAGAATTCCAGAATGAGATAATGTATGTATATATTCCATGTGCTTGGTACATGAAAGATATTCAATAAGTGTCTATTGAAGTTTTGAATATTGGAGGAAAACAAGTACTGACAAAATGTGATTTTTATAATACTTAGAATACATGAATCATCTAATACTATTTAAATTATTTTATCATTGCGTCATGTTTGTATTTTTCAGACAGTGAAGCTAGTTCTTTAATGGATATAGAAAACGTAATTCTGACTAAAATCCATGATGATGAAGAGGATCGCTCAGAGTCAATAATGAAATCTGACAAGTTTCGTCAGGATTTATTTTTTATGGAACGAGTTCTAATGGAAAATTTATTTCAGCCCAAACTTGCAGCTTATCGTCAGCTTCCTGTTTTAAAAGGTATTTTTAAAAATCACATTTGGGGATGCCTGGGTGGCTCAAGTAGTTAAGTGTCTGTATTTGGCTCAGGTCATGATCCCGGGGTTCTGGGATCGAGTGCTACATCAGGTTCCTTGTTCAGTGGGAAGCCTGCTTCTCTCTCGGCTTGCTTCTCCCTCTGCCTGCCTCTCCCCCTGCTTGTACACGAGTCCTCTCTCTCTTTCTCTCTTTCTCTCTCTCTCTTTCTCAGACAAATAAATAAAATCTTTTTTAAAATCACGTTTAGGGACGCCTGGGTGGCTCAGTTGGTTAAGCAGCTGCCTTCGGCTCAGGTCATGATCCCAGCGTCCTGGGATCGAGTCCCACATCGGGCTCCTTGCTCATCAGGGAGCCTGCTTCTCCCTCTGCCTCTGCCTGCCATTCTGTCTGCCTGTGCTTGCTCTCTCTCCCTCTCTCTCTCTCTCTCTCTGACAAATAAATAAATAAAAATCTTTAAAAAAAAAATCACGTTTAGACAAGCTCAAATAATTAAAAGAATTAAGTGGAATTATTTCTAAATGTAACCTCCAGACTGGGTTATCACTTATTGAAAGACACATATTATACAGCTTTTAGCATTGAACATCCAAGTAACATTAGAGTTCAAACTATAGAGCCCACAAAAAGAGGCAGTCCCTTAGATTAAAATCTTCATAAGCTTCTGTGACTTTTTTCTCTCTCTTGCCCCTGCATTGAATTATTTTCTCATATGTAAAGCCCCAATCCATTGCCACTGACACCTTCCAAGTTCTGGTGCTTATTATCTTTCCTTAATTGTATTGCAAGGGCATTCTTCCTGTTCTCATTGCTAAATCCCAACTCATGTTCACAGAATATTTTGAAAGATTTTAGAGATTAACTCAACCTTTCACTTTTTGAATGAAGAAGATGAGATGCATAGAAACTTTCCAAGTTTAGAGCCTATGACAAAGGTAGGCATTCAAACAAGTTCTTCTGATCTCATTCAAATTCTCTTTCCACTCTACTATCCTGTTCTGCTGATGTATCCTACACTTGGATTTGAACATGGTAACTTAACTGTTAAAAAAACTGCAGTAACTTCCCATTGCCTAGAATAAATTATAAACCCTAAGATTTTCCTTGTGCTATCTTCCGGTTAAACCTTAACCCCCATAAATAGGCATTTAATCTGATATTTCTCATCATAGATTAATTGTTTTGGTATATCATATAAGGGGCTCATATAGTAAGTACAGTTGATCCTTGAACAAGGCAGGGCTTAGGGATGATGACCCTGGCACAGTACAACTTTTGATTCCCCCACAACTTAACAGCCTACTGTTGACCGGAAGCCTTACCAATAGCATAAACAGTCAGTTAACACACATTTTGTAGGTTATATGTATTATATACTGTGTTTTTACAGTAAAGCAACCTAGAGAAGAGAAAATGGTATTAAGAAAATCATAAGGTAAAGAAAATACATTTACAGTTTTGTACATACACTAGCCTGGGCCAGGGGCAGTGGGAGGGGCCGGTCCCAGAATGACAGAGTTCTGTAGTCTGGTGGCCTCAGCTGCCCAGCAGCCGCTGCTGGGTGGGCCCATGGGTGGTAGAGGAAGTCTAGAGGCACAGCAGAGCTGGACCACTGCCTAGAGTTGTATACCAGGTGTACTACTTGGAGGTGGCCATTTCAGCTGCAGCCAAACAGGAGTACGCTGCTCTCTCTCTTTTTTCTTTTTAAAATGCCTTTATTATAAAATTAAAATCTAGGGAAGCTCCTTTTTCCCCTATCCAAAGACTTCATTAATATAGATATTGGAGCAAAAATATCATTTATGGATTGGTAAAAGAGGATATCCACGGACACCAGTCCAGCTTCTACCAGGCAGTGCCATCCTCAGTCACCATGCCAAGGTCAGCTGGGTGCCGCACCATCCAGAATGTATAGGTTAATTCCTGCCCCCAAAGACACTTGTGGATGAGTCCCCACATTTTCCGTTTGAGGTGATATTGACTTTTCCTACTCCACTGGCCCTTGGGCTATTGCCCCACATTAACTACCGTTATTCTTTTTCTCTTTTTGCACAAAGGTGAATACAGAATTTCTTTGAATATAGCAGGGTATCAGGAGGTAACCAGTCATATGTATTTAAATTGGCCAGCACATAAGTGATGGAACTTTTGATAAGAGTACCCCATAGGTGCTCTTCAACTCTGATTTCACAAGAAGAGAGAGGGTAAAAGAACTCAAAGAAATCCAGCATCCCTCCCATTATAGGACAGATAGTTCCCAAATAGATTTCATAATGCTGGGGTTTCTGGTAATACAGGTAAGGCTTTTGTTTAATTCTGACCTGAAGCCAACACGGGTTACAGATTATGGGCACAACCACCACAGGGAAGAATCTGCACTAGGGCCTGCAACAGGACCAAGGCCCATGGCTCCCCTGAAGCAGCTCTGGAAGCCAGTGGGTAGAGGACTCTGTGGGGCTCTGTGCACAAGGCCATCACTGCCCTCTGGGTGTATTCTTCTGCTTTAGCTCAGCCTTCTGCCTGCTAGCCCTGGATGCGCTACCTGACCACCCTACCCTCACTTATGGTGACCTGCAGACCTTCCCTCAGTAGGCCTCCCCTGGCACTCATGTAGCAAGTGCTGCCTCTGTGCTGGTTGCCTTCCATTCCATCTTTGGAGAGTGGGTTGGGTAGTTGCAAATAAATGCCTTGTGGCTTTTGCTGTTAACTCCCTTTAAAAAAACTTACATATAAATGGACCCACACAGTTCAAACCTATATTGTTCCAGGGCTACTTGTATTCTTTCGTGTCTGGCTTCTTTCCCTCAACATAATGTTTTTGAGATTCATCAAGGCTGATGAATGTTGTCTTAAAGACTAATCATGTTGAATACTTATTCATGTGCTTTTTTTGGTCATTTATATATCTTCCTTTGTGTAATGTTTGGTCAAGTCCTTTGCCATTTTTTTAAAGATTTTATTTATTTATTTGACAGAGAGAGAGAGATCACAAGTAGGCAGAGAGGCAGGCAGAGGGGAAGGGGTAAGCAAGCCCCCGGTTGAGCAGACAGCCTGATGTGGGGCTCGATCCCAGGACCCTGAGACCATGACCTGAGCCTAAGACAGAGGCTTAATCCACTGAGCCACCTAGATGCCCCGTCCTTTGCCATTTTAAATTGAATTATCTTTTCTTTTTAAAAATCAAGTTGTAGGAGTTTATTTTTATATATTCTGGAATAAGCTCTTTGAAAGATACATGTATTACAATTCTTTAGTCTAAGTCAGTAACTTACCAATATGTTTTTCTTTTGATAGTAGAAGTTTTTAATTTTAATGAAGTCTTATCTATCAGTTTTTTTATTTTGTAGTTAATGTTTTCCATGTCCTCTTTAAGATATCTTCACCTGCCCCAAGACTGCAAATATCTTTGTCTTATTCCTAAGCTTAAGGAAAAGTATTCAATATTTTGTCATTAAATACAATGTTAGGTGTAACTTTTTGTAGATACCTTTTGTTGGTTTGAGGGAATCTGCCTCTTTCTAGTTTTCTAAACATTTTAAAAAATATATGGGTGTTGAATTTTGTCCAGCGTACCCACAATAGTGAACACAATATTTAAGGAGAAGAGCAAAGCTGGAGGACACACACTACCTGACTTCAACACTTGTAAAGTTCTAGTAGTGAAGGCAGTGTGGTACAGACAAAAGAAGAGACACATATTTCAGCAGAACAGAATAGAGAGCCCCCAAATAGGTCCACATAATTATAGTCAACTGATCTTTCACAAAAAAGAAAAAGCAATTCAATGAAGAAAAGGTAATCTTTTCAACCAATGGTACTGAAACAAATGGTCATTTATGTGCAAAATAAAGAATCCAGACACCAACCTTTTATCATTCACAAAAATTAACCCAAAATAGGTCATAGACTTCAATATAAGATACAAAACTACAGAATTCCTAGAAGCCAACATAGGAGTTGACTTCTAGGAGTCAAAATCTAAATAATCTTAAGGTATAGCAATGACTTTGGAGATTTAACACCAAAGGCATGATAAACTTCTCCACTGTAAAAGACATTATGAGGAGAATAAGAAGTTATGTCACAGACTGGAGAAAATATTTGCAAAAGACATATCTGTTAAAGGACTCATCCAAAATATATAAATATTTCTTAAAACTTTATAATGAAAAACAACATGATCAAAAAATGGGCAAAAGACATTAACAGACACTTCCGCCCCCAAATATACACATGGCAAATGGGCATATAAAAAGATGCTCAACATCAAAGCTCACTAGGGAATTGTAAACTATAACAACAATGAGATACCACTACATACCTATTAGAATGATGAAAATCCAAAACACTGACACCACCAATACTGGCAAAGATATGGAACAAGAATTCTCATTCAGTGCTGGTGGGATTGCACGATGAATAGTTCCACCACTTTGGAAGACAGTTTAGCAGTTCCTTACAAAACTAAACATACTGTTACCATATGGTCCATAATTACACTCCTTAGTATTTACCCAGTGTGGTTGAATACTTACATACCCACAAAAACCTGCACACAAATGGTTACAGCAGTTTTATTCATAATTGCCTAAACTTGGAAGTAACCAAGATCTCCTTCAATAGGTGAATGGATAAATAAATTGTGGCATATCCAGACAATGCAATATTATTCAGCACAAAAAAGAAATAAATGTTTAAGCCATGAATGGGTGTGGAGAAAACTTAAATGCATGTTACTAAATGAAAGAAGCCAGTATAAAAAGACATTATATGGTATAGTTCCAAATGTGTGACATTCTGGAAAAGACAAAAATATGGAGACAGTAAAATGATCATTGGTTGCCAGGGACTTGAGGGCTGGGAGGAATGAATAGGCAGAGAACATAAGATTTGTAGAGCAGTGAAACTATTCTCTGTGACTACTATAATCATGAGTGCATGTCATTGAGCATTTGTCCAAACCATAGAATTTATACACCAGGAGT